TAAAGTAATGGAAATATTGCATTTATAGTTATGTTTTAGCTTCAATATGTTGTAAACTGCAAGTTAAAGTAATTGAAATACTCCATTTCTAGGTATTTACAGTTTTAATATCTTTGTAGGTCTGGAGTTAAGATGAGATAATACGTTGACTATTAAAGGAAGAATTTTCAAATTTAAGAAATATATCGACGTATTTAAGCTTCAATTAGTTATTATCTGCAAGTTAAAGTAATTGAAATACTATTTTCTTTAAGTATTTGTCTGTCGTTTATAAGATAAGAATTAACACAAGATGAGATAATACATTGATTAAAGCAAAAATAACGGATTATTTGCAAGTTTAAGAAATACATTCATGTGATAAAGTTTTATTACGCTGTTTGTAGTAAGTTAAAGTAATCGAAATACATTCTTTGAGTATTTACAATTTAATGAATAAAATTTTAGGTCTTTGGATGAAAATGGTAGCAAAAAAAGAGAAGTATATAAATAATGTATGTAGGGATGAGGGTGAAGTTAAATGTATTGAATTGGGGACATTCATTCTCCATTTTTTCCAATACACTTTAGCTTCTAATTTCTTTTAACATAAAATATTATTACTTAATACATATTTGAAATTTAAATATGAATTTTTATTTATTGAACAAATTTTATTAGCCCAATTAACTTTTTTTAAAAATTAGAAATGTGAAATCAAATTTTCATTAATATATCAAATATTATTAATTAATCAATAAAATAAATAATTTCCTTAAATTTCATCTAATTTTTTAATTAATTAATCGCAAAATTAAACAATTATCTACAGTTTCATTGAATTTAATCAAATTTAGTAAAGAAATTTGAGAATTATTTAAAGAAAAAAGAATTTAATCAAAGTTAATCAAAAAATTACATAATTATTGATAATTCATTGGATTTAATCAAATTTAGTATAGAAATTCGAGAATTATGTAATATTCAAATATGACAACGAGTAATTTTTTGCGTTGAATAATGTCTTTTTCATATATGTTTTTATAATGAAAATGAGTAATTCACTCACATAAACCTTTTTAACGTACTTTTGTTTTAATAACGCGAAATAAATTTTAAATTAGAATACATAAAAATGAACCTATAAATATTGAAATGAGTACTAGGATTTATTTCTTTTTCCTTTTTATTATTTATTTTTATCCTGAGAATATGAATGAAATCAATAAAATTTAATGTTGAAGTTGCTATAAAAACATAAAAATATTCTTTGTGTCTTCTAAAGTCTTTGTGCAATTAGATATGTAAATTGAAATATAACAATACCTCGCATAGTGCTGCTTCGATCAGTCCGGATTCAATATTGTTTGAAAATATTTTAAGATAAACGAAATTTTAATGAATTAATTACACAAAATATTTTTTCCTTTTATACAGTCGAGTTTCTTTTTGTGCGGTTAAAATATCCTCAAATAGTCCGGTAATAAAAATTGTTATAGATATATAAAAAAGTTTTATTCATGTAAAAATGAGGCTGATTTTTATACAAAAAGTTCGTTTTTTTGCCTCTATACAGTCAAGTCTCTTTTTGTGCGGTTTAAATGTCCTCGAATAGTCCGGTAATAAAAAATGTTATAAATATACAAAAAAATGATGTTCAATAAATATTATAAGTTTTATTAATGTAAAAATGAGGCTGATTTTTATACAAAAAGTTCGTTTTTTTGCTTTTACAATTGAGTCTCTTTTTGTCCTGGAATTGTCCGGTAATAAAAAATGTTTTAAATATACAAAAAAAAAGATGTTTCATAAATATTATAAGATTAATTCATGTAAAAATGAGGCTGATTTTAATACAAAAAGTTCGTTTTTTGCCTATATACAGTCGAGTCTCTTTTTGTGCGGTTTAAATGTCCTCGAATAGTCCGGTAATAAAAATTGTTATAGATATATAAAAAAAATTGATTATGTTCCATAAATATTATAAGTTTTATTCATGTAAAAATAAGGCTGATTTTTATACAAAAAGTTCGTTTTTTTGCTTTTACAATCGAGTCTCTTTTTGTCCTGGAATAGTCCGGTAATAAAAAATGTTTTAAATATACAAAAAAAAGATGTTTCATAAATATTATAAGTTTTATTCATGTAAAAATGAGGCTGATTTTAATACAAAAAGTTCGTTTTTTTGCCTATATACAGTCGAGTCTCTTTTTGTGCGGTTTAAATGTCCTCGAATAGTCCGGTAATAAAAATTGTTATAGATATATAAAAAAATTGATTATGTTCCATAAATATTATAAGTTTTATTCATGTAAAAATGAGGTTGATTTTTATACAAAAAAGTTCGTTTTTCTTTGCCTTTATACAGTCCAGTCTCTTTATACAGTCGAGTCTCTTTTTGTGCGGTTTAAATGTCCTCGAATAGTCCGGTAATAAAAAAATGTTATAAATATACAAAAAAAATAGATGTTTCATAAATATTATAAGTTTCATTCATGTAAAAATGAGGCTGATTTTTATACATAAATGATCGTTTTTCTCGCATTATACAGTCAAGTCTATTTTTGTGCGGTTTAAATGTCCTCGAATAGTCCGGTAATAAAAAAATGTTATAAATATACAAACAAATAGATGTTCCATAAATATTATAAGTTTCATTCATGTAAAAATGAGGCTGATTTTTATACATAAATGATCGTTTTTGTCGCATTATACATTCAAGTCTCTTTTTGTGCGGTTTAAATGTCCTCGAATAGTCCGGTATTAAAAATTGTTATAGATATATAAAAAAATTGATTATGTTATAAGATTTATTCATGTAAAAATAAGGCTGAAAATAGAACGTCTAAAAATATAAAAAAACAGGGATTCTGGGTCAACATCCTGTGACATTTTAGGTGCTTCATTTCCCTAATCAAAGCGGGTAATTTAAATAAGTCTTTCAGCGTCATCCGTTCTGTAAGGAAAAGCTAACCGCAGCGAAATCTTTCCTTCTCCTTTCAATCGCTGCCCTTTCCCTATTTTTTTCCTCTCTCTCTCTTAGTTTGTGTATGTGTATATATGTAACCTGTCCGAGGAGCTGAAATCGTTTTTATCATCCGAAAAAGGCGACCGCTTGTCATATTTGGGTCGCATATATTTTCCGCACACTCGTCCTGAATGGACTTGCATGTAAGTGTGTACTTGTGCCTTGTATATATATATAAATAAATGAGGGTTGGTGTGAGTGAGTGAGAGGAGCACGCTGAGATCTTGGGGATGAGAAGGAAAAACTGTGTAGGTGGAAAGCGTAAATGGGGATGATGATAAAAAAAAGAGAGGGCATTGCGCAAAGCGGAAACGGGAAGGAAGGAAGTGAACGTTTTTTGTGTTTCCGAGTGAATGCGCCGCGCAAGGACCGCAGAATGCGAGCGGCGTGGCTTGGGGTGAATGGGTTGCGAAGGAGGAGAAGGACCTCCCCGTGTATTTGTGTCTGCAAACTAGGTATGTTTGCTTTGCGCCATCCACCCACGCTCCGATTCACACTTTTCCTTCTTAACGCACATTAATTAGGAAGATGTAATTAAAATACGCCTTGGAAATAATTGGAGACGAAATTAAAACGTATACACGACGAGAGGAGAAAGAGCAATGAAGATACAGAAATTCATTTAAATGAAACTTTATACAGTATTTAAAAAAAAGTGTATACTATAGTAAATATTATAATTTTAGTAATTTATTTAATTCTGAAGAATCAAATTTTTCAAGTAATAGTAATTATTATAAAAAATTAACCATAGTATTATGATTATCTCATTAGCGTAATTAGTTATCAAGTAATTAGAAAAGAGACATGAATCGAATAATTAAACTAAGTCATGAAAAAATATATAAAAATGGTAAAATCTCTGATAGGGTTCTTACGTAACCATAATTTTCAATAGGATTTCGCCAGAAAAGACATAATTTTAAGGATTCCGTCAGATTATATAAGGTATGAAGATAAGATCTGATGCAAAACTATAATTAATCTTGCTTAGTACGTAGCTGTATGCGGCGGATTAGCAATGGTTGTATTGCCTTATTAGCATTCAATTAGTCTGATTGAGTACCGGAAAATGATCTTCAATATTAATAATTTGATGTATTGGCAATTATAATGTTAAACTGCACGGAGGAGGCTTTGGGCATTAACGTTTCATACGACGACAGATCTAGAGTGAGAACGTGCTCTGACAGTAATGGCAGGATCATGTCAATTTCATTCGTTCTAGAGAAATTGTAGGTTGGTGATACTTGTGAAAAACATGGGCTGTCATGTTTATAAGTTATAAGTGTATAAGTTTATAAAAATGATTACAATTAAGGTAGTAGTAGTTTGTATTAATGTCTTAACATATCATTCATTTTTGAAAATAGTCCTTTGAAGTTTTAATAATTTCAATTCAATTAAAAATAAATAAGTAAATAAACGATTTCTATTAATTAATTTTAGTTTAGCCTTAATGATAATGTCTACTACTCATTCGTATTTTAAAATATGAAAGATTGTGACTACAAATTCAATTTAAAAATTTCATTCAAATGTTTTTAAATGAATTATAATTATAACAGTAATTGTGTTCAGCTTGAAAGATCATTTCTAAATCTCATAAAATAATCATTTGAATCTTCAACAATTTCAATTGAAATGAATTTTGTACAGGATTTTTTTTTAAGTAATAGTTGTAGTTAGTAATTCATCTTTAAGGATTATATCTAAATCTCATTCATTCATAAATCGCATTTTTAATTCTTATTTTGCGAAACTGCTGTGTATTACTATGTCGTGGAGTACGCTCTGATTTTGCATAAACAAAGTTGCCAATGTAAAATATAGTTGGGCGGATATATCCGCCGCTCGTTTAAAAAGTTAAAAAAGCCTTTCTATTCTTCAATATTTGAATATGCTTAACACTTTTTTCATAATTATTACAATTAGAATCATATTTTTTGAAACTTTAAATAAGGAATATAAACTTTTGTTTTTTTTGACTTACCGATGACTGTGAGATGGATGAAGTGGCTCAGATGCGGCGTGGAAGAAACCTGACATTCGTAGATGCCGGAGTCCCTGTGCTGCGGATACTTGATCTGCAGAGTCCAATCCTCCGAATGCGGCTGATGGATAGCCCTGAACCTCTGATCCGAGGTGTACGTGTACCTTCCCACTGTGAGCAGGTGCACGTCCCTATGTCTCACCCAGGACACCTGCAGAGATATCTGCAAGGTTTAACTAATCATACAAAGCGAAAAGCTTGGGCCACAACGTAAAGAAAAAGAAATAAACACAAAACTGAAAACTAATAAAATTCCGATTCGTATGTTATTAGCAGAAAGCAGTGCTTGTTATATATGTAGTTACGTAACGTCGCATCGAGAGATAAAGAATGACAAAAAAAAAGTGTTTGTGTGGTGAAATGTGGTGAGTTAATACTGTGTGTGTTTGGTGTGGGTACGTGTTTGTGGGCAGTGCAGAACCTAAGATAACACCAATTACTATAAAACCAAAGAACTATAAAATGAAACGGGTGCAAAACCGTGCGATGGATGAGAACGATTCACGACCCTTTCTTTTCTTGCGCGCGTGTATTCTTTCGATTCCGGAAACGCATCAATAAGATTTATGCGGTATATAGCAAATTTGCAAAAGATTTCACGGTCCCAAAGTGCGAACAAACGTTGCCATCAATCATCGCGATGAGGGGAAATGAAAAAAAAAACGATTCGGTGGAGGAATATTGGATTCGCAAAGAGAGAGGAGAAAAAAACGAAATTGCGATTAATTTATCGGGACACGCCCGAACGTCAGGACGAATTTAATTGCACTTATATTCCCTTCCAGATATACACACAGCACCGGGATTATATATATATTTTTTTTTAATTTACTTTTTTTTCATCATCATCCAGTATGAAAAATATGATGGGAACGAGTCTGATGTAACTGCAATTAAAAACTTTTTTTTGAGTTCGCGTCAAAACTGGATTCTAAACTTTCGTTGTTCGCGTCGGTGTTTTCTGTTTGCTCTTTTTTTTTATTCGTTTTGTTTTCTGTTTATTTTTTCTGGTTGTTGTTGTTGCTGTGTGGAATTAATATAACGGTGTTTTCGCTTCGTGTTTGTTTTTGGCGTGTAGATTAATTTGACTGAGCTTTTCATGATGATGGATGGATGCTTCTTCTTCTTCTAGTAACTAGAATCTAGTTGATAGTTAGATGAGATCAAGGGGGAGATAGTTTCGGTTTCAACGGAAATATGTTGACTCTCTTTGATAAGTTCAATTTGTGTACGAAGTATTGATTGATCTTGTTGTTGTTGTTGAACTTTGCAATCAGATACTTTGTGAAAGTTCATTAAAGTTAAAGACATAATTTATTTTTGTTATATATCACATACCAATAATATTTTAGTAAATTTAGTTAATTATTACTCCCACATTACAATAATTATAAAACGTACTCTGGAAATAAAAAAATGAATCGAATGAATAAAAAAATAATTGTTAAATCTAATAGATTTATATTTAAAGTAAAAATTTTTATATGAATATTATTGAAAATGTTAAATATGTTGTAAAAACTTATTAAAATACAAGAAAAACTTAAATTATGTACTAATAACAAATAATAACATTTATTGTAACAAATCATAAGACGTACTTAAAAAATAATAATATAATATTACGAAAAAATAAAAACAAATTGTTCTGGTACAAAGGGCTATTGACCATAGGTTGCCTTATGTACTAATATATAATACTATGGGCAAATGCGGCTATTCGTTGAGTCAAGTGCGGCTTCAAATTCTATTTTGCAATACATTAAATAAATAATCAGATTGTGACTCTCTTTCGCCTTATGTGTCTATCCCTATTATATAATTCATAAACTAAAAATTGTAATATTAACATTATTCTTATATTTATATATCAGCCGTTATATAAAACGTGGTATATGTCCAGTTTTGGAAAAAATGGGTTTATGGTAATTTTAGTAAGATTGTTGTGTCCAACCGTTATTATTTCAATTATTATTGTTAATTTAGTGTATTAATGAATTAGAGACATCCGTGTCTTAGTCTTAGGCGTGTCTTAGTCGCCTTATTATATAAATATATAATAAAGAAACCTTCACCCGACTATATCGAAATCCCGAATAAAAATGTTACAGTAGAAATTTATAATAATAAAAGACACAGTCGGGATTTCGGTTGTCGGGCTTGCGATTGCCACCGTTTCTACACATACATATATTTCGAGGGGTCGCAGAATATTTTTTTTAATGCAAAAAAGGGGTCGCGGACCAAAAAGAAGTTTAAGAAATGCTATATCTTACTAAAATTACCATTAACTATTTTTGTCTAAGAAAATAGATTTATGCGATAAATATGTTATTAGGTCCACTGGGACCTAAAAAAAACTTATATTTTCTTTAACAATTTTAATAATTTTTATTGCATAATAAAATTTAACAGTTTTATAGTGTAAGAAAACATCACACGACTTGATTAACGTTTATCAATATTCTTAAATCGATTCAAACGCAAACCCTTAAATATCTCGATATATGAAAAAGTTGACTTATACCATTTTGCAAAATAACGGTTCAAATCAATTATATTTTATGTAAAGAAAAATCTATATATGAATATTATTTTTTAATGTTGGATACTTTAAAAAAAGTAAAAAGTAATGAATAAAAACTATAAATTATGTTATGATATTGGAAAGATTTCTAATTTATCATTGTTACATACGTTTAAATAATATATTTCCCACAATATGTATGTGTACCTTTAATAATATTTATAAATGCATTTTATAAAGTTAATTAAATTTAACCATAATTATTTCAGTTTGTCATATTTTCATATGGTTTCACCAAATATACGTTAATTTGAAATTTAATTAAATATTCAAAATGCTGTTAATTACGAATATTCTATAATTATTTGTATTGATTTTAATAAACAATGAAAACATATAATGAAATGTTACTTATTATATAGTGATATCAATGTAGTTTATATGATGTATTGCTAAACTATTATTAGAAAATATTATATAATTCAATGAATCAGAGTTTATATAAAAATTAGTATAATTAAAGAAAAAAAAACGAATTTTATGATTAATGTGAATATTTTCTGGTAGCAAAACTTTTATTTATTTATTTGTAATTGTAACTTGTACATTAATACTGATTTGCAACAATTTATAAAGAAAAAATAGTTAAAATATTTGTATATAATTAATTTTGATATTAATAAATTATTTCATTTTACATGAGTTTTTCTGAAAATATTGATTAATTAATATTATTTATAAAATTGAAATATTGGGTGAAGTAAAAAGTTCTGAACGTTTTGTTCCATATATCGAGATTTTTCTTGAGACCAGCCTTAAGCAAATGTTCCAAACGATTTTTTGGCTAATCTTCAGTTCATCGTGAGATATAGCTTATTAAAGCCATCTAACGAAAAACGCTCAGAACTTTTTACTTCACCCATATGTTTATATTCATTTGTTATTCATTATCAACATTATTATATAATATTAATATTTTTTAATTATAGTTTCTATGAGTATTACATGAAATTGATTGTACATTTTTTGTAAGTAAAAAAAATAGTTTCAATATTAATTATTTTGATTTATATGAGAGTTTTGCTGGTAATAATAATTATACAATATTTATGGAAATGCGTTAAATTGTGTTTTACTACATTTGCATTTATATTTTGTGAGATTAATAAATTATTTCCCGAATTATTTGTAATAATAATTATATAAAATTTATGAAAATGTATAAAATTATATATAATTTTATATAATTATTATTCACGAAGTATCTGTAATTGCAATCAACTTTTTAATTAAATATTCGAAACGTAATTACTTATTAATTTTGATTTATTTGAGGATTTATAAAAGGATATGTGTTAAAAATGTTTTTACTAATGGAAAAGATGTGATGGAATGAATGATTAGCTAGGCGATTGTATGAGGAATGAATGGATGAAAAGACTCACTGTTCTGTTGGCCAAATTTTTGACGCGACAATTTAGGTAAGCAGTCTTTCCTAGAAGAGCCGTAACATTCTTGGATGCGCTCGTATCGAAGTGAGGTCCTCTCGCGCTATCGGCCAAAGAGTTGCTGGAGGCGCTGCCCGTAGACTGTACTGCACTTAGAGCTGAAAACGAAAGAAATTGTTAAAAATTAATATAAGAAATTTGATTAATATTTTTTAATTGTAATTGATTGTAACAGAATATTGATTTCAAATATGAATTACACAAAGAGATGTTAAGTTATTGGTGGAGGATGTAAAGAAATAAAAAGAACTATAAAAGAAATGTTGCTTTTTGGTAGAAGACGGTAAGGAAATTTAAAAAAATATGCTTGTAATACTAATTTATTACAAGTCACAAAGAGATTTTTGAGTTTTTGATTAAGGAAGTAACATAATCAAAGAACAATGAAATAAATAGATAAAACAAATAAAGGAAAAATTAATAAAAAATTACAAATAAATGTTAAGTTTTTGAAGAAAGATCCAATAAAAGTAAATTATTTGCAAATAAGTGGTGAAAAGTAATACATGAAACATTGATTACAAATCACAAAGAAATTTGCAGATTTTGGTGGAAGTTGTTGGCTCTTTTTCTCTTCCAACAAAGAGTAAACTATTAAGAAAGAAATGTTTAAAACTAATTTATGAAACATTGATTGTAAACAATGAAGATTTTTTTTTGTTGGATCTTGTTATCTCTTTAACTCTTCCAACATATGTAAAGTATTGAAAAATAAATGGTTATAACTAATATACAATACATTGATTATAAACCACAAAGAAATGTGAAAATTTTGGTGGAAGTTGTTGGCTTTTCACCACTTCCAACAATAATAAACAATTAAGAAATGTGACGTTTTTGGTGGAACTTGTTGTTTCTTCAACTCTTCCAACAAGAGTAAACAATTAAGGAATGTGAAGTTTTTGGTGGAAGTTGTTGTTTCTTCAACTCTTTCAATAAATGTAAATAATTCAGAAAAAAATGGTTAAAACTAATTTATGATTAATTTCAAATTAGAAGAAAAAATATTAAGTTTTTGAGGCAATAAAAGTAAATTATTAAGAAATAAATTGTTAAAATTAATATAAGAAACACTGATTTCAAATTACAAGAAGAAATATTAAGTATTTAGCCAAAACAAGTAAAAAATTAATAAAATTAATTTCAAATTACAAAAAGAAATGTTAAGTTATTGAGCCATTAGAAGCAAATAATTTAAAAACAATGTTAAAACTAATATAGGAAACATTCATTTTAATTGGAAAAAAAAAATGGAAATGTTAAGTGTTTGAGCCAATAAATGTAGAGAATTAAAAAAATTAATGGGTAAAAGTAATATAAGAAACATTGATTTTACAAAAAGATATATTAAGTTTTTAGTCAAAACAGTTAGAAAAAATACTAAAAGAAATATTAAGATTTGTTGCAATGAAAGGGAAGAATTAAGAACGAAATGGTTAAATGGGGTTGCCAACACTTTACTGCACAAATGGCGGCAAATTCAAATCTTGCGTTAATTTTGGGACACTCTTTATAAGAAACATTGATTTCAAATTACAAGAAGATATATTAAGTTTTCAAACAATACAATTAAAGAATTAAGAAAAAAATACAAAAAGAAATGTTAAGTTTTTCATCCAATTAAAGTGAAGAATTAGGAAAGAAATGGTTAAAACTAATATAAAAATCGCTAATTTCAAATTACAAAAAAGAAATGTTAAGTTTTTGTGCCATTAAAAGTAAAGAATTAAAATAGAAATGGTTAAAACTAATATAAGAAACATTAATTTCAAATTACAAGAAGATATATTAAGTTTTCAAACAATACAATTAAAGAATTAAGAAAAAAATACAAAAAGAAATGTTAAGTTTTTCATCCAATTAAAGTGTAGAATTAGGAAAGAAATGGTTAAAACTAATATAAGAAACATTAATTTCAAATTACAAAAGAAATGTTCAGTTTTTCTGCTATTAAAAGTAAAGAATTAAGATAGAAATGGTTAAAACTAATATAAGAAACATTGATTATAAATACAAATCCCATAGAGATGTAAAGTTCTTTTTTGGTGGAAGAGCCGGTGACGTTGTCGCAAGCAACGGAATAGAAAAACAGAAGAAAATAAAATGTGTAGAGGCGAAACTTGGAAGCTAGTTTTAATTAGACACGAACTCCAGTAAATCATCAGACTAACGAAACACGACCGAACGTAGAGAAATAAAAGAATGAACAAAATATATATATGTATGTAGAAGAGCGAAGTTAATTTAGCGAAGCATTAAAGGATTTAGCGGTAGATGAGAGTTGGAAATTTTTTAAATGAAGCTAGTTGCAGCTTCCAGAAATCTCGTTCCAAAATAAAGGGTTTTCAGCATAGTCAATTTATGTCTTAATTCTTTAAATCACTTACAAAACGAGATTTTAATTAAATGCATATTGAATGATGTTGGATTATTTTTAACTTTTTCTATTACATAATAAGAAATTTAATCAATTAAATAAAAAAAAATAGGATTTCTAATTATTGTTGGAAATTTTAAAGAAATAAATTAAGTCAATTTGATTAAAAAAAAAAAATGATCTGTTGAGTGGCTTCGATTTTGTTTTGAAGATGTTGATGGCAGATGAAGCTGGGGCAGATGGATGCATTAAAGAGAGTAGAATTAGTAAACTTAGATTGGGAATTGCTGAGGAGGAGGAATCTAACGCCGCCTCCGATTTTAATGAAGAAACTTCCTTGCGAAATTATATTAAAAATCAATTAAACGAAATGCAAATTCATGTGCACGGAAAATCCTGGTTCTTTTGCGAGATATTACTGCTGTTAGTCTGATTAATTCAATTAGCGTTGCTACCTATTCGCTTTGTTTGTATTCACTCTGCAACTGTTCATAGTTTACTTTGCTCCCGATTCGCATGTTCTTTAATTAGACCGTTTTCCGTTTATTTACGTAATTCCTCAATGAATGTTTCCCATTATTATTTTTTGCGTATTTTAAACCTCCTGTTAGTAATTGCTATTATTAAAATGTTATATAATCTACAAATGGGAAATAATTAAGTATTTATATTTATTTTATAACAATTGTAGTTGAAGAAGTATTCATATTTCATTGATTATATGCTTCATTCTATCAATTGTTGCAAGTAAAGCCTATATAACAATATATATTGAGTTGACAAGAAAGTAATTATAATTAGTTTTAAAGGACTTTAGCTTCCTTTGCGAGTAATTTTGTAGTTAGTATGGATTCAATTTTAACAGGAGTTGCAAAAACGAACATTTTTTACTTTTTTATTTCTGTAAGGGCAAGAAAGCTGAGGCTTTCAAAGCGATATGTAAAGTTTATGATGTTGATTGTTGATTGTTTTTCATTCAACCAAATCAAAGTCATAATTAAATCGTATCATTATTCAACTATGCAACAGAATGTATAAAGGTTAAATGTAACGCACATAACAACTTGAACTAGATAAGAATCTCGATATGCGCATGAGTTGAAAAAGAAAAAAATATTATTGATTGTCAAATTATTATCCTATACCAATTTTTGTGTTAGGTGTCATTATTCAAAATATTGATTGTCAAATTGTTGTCTAATGTCATTTTTTGTCGACAATTATAATATTGATAGTCAATTTGTTAGTTTATATCGTTTTTCATATTGGGTTTCATTATTTTGTCGGTATTCAAAATATTTATTATAAAATTGTTGTCCTATGTAATTGAGTTCATCAGCAATTAAAATATTGATTGTAAAATTGTTTACATATGTCAATTTTTATATGGAGTATCAATATTTTGTTAGCATTCAAAATGTTTATTATCAAATTGTTGTCTTATTTCATTTTGTTTATCGACATACAAAATATTGATTGTCAAATTGTTATCCTAAGTAAATTTTCGTATTGGGTGTCAATATTTTGATAGTATTCAAAATATTGATTGTCAAATTGATGCCTAATGTCATTTTTTGTCGACTATTAAAAAATTGATAGTCAATTTGTTATTTTATATAGATTTTCATATTGGGTGTCATTATTTTGTCGGTATTCTAAATATTAATTATCAAATTGTTGTCCTATGTCATTGAGTTCATCGGCAATTAAAATATTGATTGTCAAATTGTTATTATATGTCAATTTTCGTATTGAGTGTCAATATTTTGTTAGCATTCAAAATGTTCATTATCAAGTTGTTGACCTATGTCTTCTTTTGTCGAAAATTAATATGTTGCTTTTCAATTTGTTGTCCTATTTCATTTTGTTTATTGACATATAAAATATTGATTGTCAAATTGTTATCATATGTCAATTTTCGTATTGAGTGTCTATATTTTGTTAGAATTCAAAATGTTTATGATCAAGTTGTTGACCTATGCCTTCTATTGTCGAAAATTAATATATTGATTGTCAAATTGTTGTCCTATTTCATTTTGTTTATTGACATATAAAATATTGATTGTCAAATTGTTATCATATGTCAATTTTTGTATTGAGTGTCAATATTTTGTTGACATTCAAAATGTTCATTATCAAGTTGTTGACCTATGTCTTCTTTTGTCGAAAATTAAAATATTGATTATCAAATTGTTATCATATGTCTATTTTCGTATTGAGTGTCAATATTTTGTTAGCATTCAAAATGTTTATGATCAAGTTATTGACCTATGCCTTCTATTGTCGGAAATTAATATGTTGCTTGTCAATTTGTTGTCCTATTTCATTTTGTTTATTGACATATAAAATATTGATTGTCAAATTGTTATCATATGTCAATTTTCATATTGGTTGTCATTACTTGTCGGTATTCAAAACATTGATTGTCAAATTGTTGTCCAATTGAAATTTTTGTCAAATTTTTATTGGAATAAATACAAGAATATTTCAAGTAATTAAAATGTCGATTACATTTTAACTTTAATAAATAAATTTAGTGTATGGGATTATAACACATCTAAAATACTAGAACATTTTAAGTGTTTAATACTGAAATTACATAATAACAGTAATAGATGATTGTAGTTGATGTTACTATAACATTAACGTTACCTAATATTTTATGATTTACGATAGTTAAATTGTGTCATGAGTGGCGACATAAAACCCAAACCGAAAGGC